CCTTGCCTCCTCCTGCCATCTCCCCGCACATCCTTGCTGGACCCCCGCACTCCAGGCCACGCTCCTCCAGAGCACAAGGCACAGAGGACACGAAGCCCACGGCTCAGCCTATGGGGGGATGGGCATCCCCTCTCTCCTGAAGAGGAAACCCTGAGACTCTGTGTCCAAGCTTGGCCTTGACCCTGATGGGAGCTGAATCAGTTCAGAAAAAACCTTACTTCCCTCCATCAGTCTGATGCTCCAGACATAAGTCTGAGCCCAAGATGAAGAAGGAGAGGGAGAGGAAGAAGAAGGAGAGGGAGGAGGGGGAACAGGAGGAGGAAGAAGATCCAACCTCAATAATCAAAAGCTGAACATGAGTGCGTGTGTGCGGGTTACACATCGAGCTCAGCTGTGCGTTCTGGTAACTCCCGGAACAGTATCTGAACCGCTTTCACCACGAAACTTCCCGCAACAGCCCACATGACAGCAAATGTCAGGTGAGGCTCCCAAAGTCTCCGTCTCCGTGGTTAGCGGCAAACGCTCGGGTGGAGGGGAATTCTGACGGAGAGGCAGGATGAAACAGGTAAACTTGCTTTTCCGTCAGGCACTAGGGCTTGAATGGTGTCCCCCCCACCCCGAAAGATTCGCTGACGTGTTCACCCACGGCTCCTCAGAATGCAGTCTTCGTCAGAAACAGGGTCTTTGTGGATCCAGTCAAGATGAGGTGAGGCCATCAGGGTGGGTCCAACCTAGTAGGACGGGTGTCCTTAGAGAAAGGGGGAGCTCGGCCTAGAGACAGACGCGCACGGTCACGGCTGAGGGAGAAGGCCTGAGCACAGAAGCGGCTGAGGGCGTGAGGCGGGAAACACACTCTCCCTCCGCCCTCAGAAGGAACCAGTCCTGCCGACACCTTGATCTTGGGCTTGCAGCCTCCAGAGCTACGAGTGCGCGACGGTCTACCATCTGTCACTGAAGTCACCCAGCAGAGAGCGTCTTTGCAGTGGCCTCAGGAAACTGATACAGGCACCGACCCTAAAAATTGCGTCTTGCGGTGATTTGAAATACCTGTGAAGGCCGCTGGGCAGTCACCATCTGCACCACCCGGCAAGGCTATAGCCCGTTCTTTGATCAAGGAAAACAGGCAGTTTCAAACCCTCGCATCCCTACATCAGGGAGCTGCGCTATGGAAACTGCCCCGAGAAAGAGAGATTGTGCGAGGAGAGAACGTAACGTGTACCCAGAGCCGAGGTTGGGGACACAGAAGGCAGAGGCTCGCCTCGCTGAACACGAGCGGGAAGAGCATCAGAAAACAGTTTCCTACAGACACACAAAATACGCGACCGGGAGGAAGAGGAGAGACGTCTGGAACACAACGGAAGATTCCAGACCACGAGGAAGAGGAAATGTTTTCTCTCCCGGAAGAGGGAGATGTTGTAAAAGAGAGGGAGAGCTACCGCGGAGTTAAAAATAGTGAACCATGGAAAGAGATGTCTTTCCCAAAGCCATTTCATTTTGCTCTCGTGGGCACACACTTCAAGTTCACATTCACAAGGGTCTACTCACAGATGCACAGTTTCCGTAAATTCTCACTGAACAGACAGCGCCTTTCCTACCCTCCCATCAGCAGGGCATAGGGCACGAAGTCCTTGTTCAGGACTCTCTACTGCTACCTGGTGGCAGCATACACACATTTACAAAGCGAAATAATACTTCAGGGGCTCACACGCAAAACACCGTGACCCGGCAGTGCTGTGACAAAGGCCATCCGTGAGAAATCATTCGGGAAAACAAGAAACTATAATGAGAAACCCACTGGGAAGAAAAATAATATGCCATTTTCAAGAATGGTCCAATCATGAAAATGCAGCTTCTGAAAAAGTCGAAAAAAATTTTTTAGTCTCATCGGTGCAGTGACTTGCCAGGCTTTACAATCTGAACAATACAACAAAACGTATCCCACTGATGTCTTGGAAGTCACTCACAGTGTCAGAAGAGAAGGGTTTTCAACAGTCCATTTATTAAAAGTCCACGAAGTAAGGTCTCATCTATGAGCAAATGGAAGAGTGTGCCTCAGTATCCCTCGACGCACCCAGGGCTGGGCGCTGGGTAGGCAGAGCCTGTCTCCATTATGCAGGCTCGGGCTGAGTCAGGTGTTCCATTTTTAGACCAACGGCTCTTGGTTGATGGGAATGGGAAAGAGATACAGCGAGACACATGGCTGACCGCCATCGGCGACCGGACCTGCAGTTTTAACCTCCCACTCAAAGTACAGCCATGATTCGACTGCGTGATAAACCTTGAAAACAGGAGTGGAAGCAAAGCTCCCCACCTTAGCAATAACACAGGCAGGGTCATACTATTGTGCTCCCAGCGAAAGAAAAGAAAGAGAAGAGAGGAGAGGAATGGAAAGGGGAGGAATGGAAAGAGGAATGGAAAGGAGAAGAGAGAAGAGGGGAGGGGAGGGAAGGAGAGGGGAAAAGAGGAGAGGAGAGAAGAGGAGAGGAGAGGATAGGGGAGAGGGGAAGGGAGGGAAGGGGAGAGGGGAGGAGAGGAGAGGGCAGGGGAGTGGAGGGGAGAGGGGAGGAGAGAAGGTAACCAATGGAAAAGTGTATTTCCTAGAAACCTACACTATTTGGGCAGGCTTATAAGTCAGGGGAAAAACAACATCAGAGTCATTCTTGCATCATTACCATGTCTGATTTTGCCAAATTCTCTCCCACCAAGTGCACACAGGATTTGTGGAAGTGATGGCGGGAGGCATGAGAATCAGCCTCCAGTTCCAGAGAGTCAGACAGCTGTGTGTACCGCCTTCTCTGATGGAGATAGAGATATATATATATCTTCAAGAGAGATCAAAAGCTTCCCGGGGATTGAAGCGAAAGCCCAGGATTGTTTATTAAATCTCAGGAAACCAGAACCCAGAGTGGAAAACAGAAGACAGTACTAATTCAGACTCATCAACGTGCTACTGAAATGTACTCCGTTAAGAGGGAAACATGTCATTTGGGCAAGAAAGTGTAAAATAATTTTTAATTCTGCAAGTGATATAGGGCTGTATCCTTCTATTTAAGAATTGTTTTAAGTATTGGAATGTTCTAAGTAAAGCTAAGGTCATGCCCCCAAAGCACTAACCCCCTCTAAAAGAAGCGTTGTTTTTTCATGTTTTCAGTGTGGGGTGTAACCAGATCTTTAAAAAAATGCGTACACACACACATGCAGAAATATACGGTGTATGTGCGCGTGCATGGTTAAGCGTGGAATCAATAAACAATATTCTTTCCTGCTGATACTACAACCAAACAGTGTCTTGAATTGGTCATTTTTTAAAAGATTTTATCTATTTATTTGACAGAGATCACAAGTAGGCAGAGAGGCAGGCAGAGAGAAAGGAGGAAGCAGGCTCCCCGCTGAGCAGAGAGCCCGATGTAGGGCTCAATCCCAGGACCCTGAGACCATGACCTGAGCGGAAGGCAGAGGCTTAACCACTGAGCCACCCAGGCGCCCCCAAATGGTCATTTTTGTGGCTATTCTTCCCCTTCCATCATTTTCCTAACACGTCCTATGCAGAGATCTCCAAGTTGACTTGAGATGAACACAGGTTGTCTAAGGAGGAATTAAACGAGGGCAGAAAAAAAAATAATAAAGGGCCTGTGGGCACATGTGCGTTACTGTCTGCAAATCAGATGGGCAAACCCTAAGGGAGCAAAACAAGTGAAGAAGGCATGCATAACGCACCAGAGAGAAAGAAGGAAAGACAGATGATAGCTCTGGCTTCCCCAAAGCCTTTCCCACTGCTATTGTCCAAGAATAACCCTGGGTTGATGCTTTAAGGGTCTGACACAGAAGTCACTTAAAGACCTAAGAATGGCAGGTAATGTCTGAATGACAACCTCGACATGTGTGAAATGACGCCCATGCCTCCAATGTTGGGAACACAATAGGGAGCGGTGTGGACCACGGCAAATGAGACTGTGTGCCCTGATGGGAAAGCTGCTGGCCTCCAGCGGCAGCCAGCTCCTGCCATGACCACCGGCAAGCAAGCAGTCAGATCTTCCCATTTTTAATGAGAAGTAAGGGGAAAAAACTGGCATTTTTATGTTACTATCCTTGATTTTTAAATGTTGACCATTTAAAACTCAAAATTTCAAAGCCACAACACTGTGCAGTTCAACACTTGGCTGGCCACGTGGCAGGCTGAGTTGGGAGCATGGACACGGGTGTGTGACCAGGAACGTTCTTTGACAAGGGACTGCGTTGCACACAGACAGTTCCTTTGGAAGGCATTGGGTCTTTGATAGGTAAGGCCATTCCTGGCAATGAGAGCTACTTGCTTTCCTCCATTTCCATTTGGAAGGAGTTTCTGGAAAGGGATGGGACAAAACAACCCATGGAAACACCCTTTCCTTTTCTCATGTCTGAGATATTTTGAATTTTACCAGAAGAATTTTCACACTGTGTCACTTGGAACTATATCAGCCACTGCTCTCCATATCCACTGACTGAGGACAGATGCTCCCCGATTCCCCCGGGAAGGGGACACAGGCTCCTGATTACACACAAGAAGAGTTCTTAGAAGGCTCCCTGGTGACCACGGCCGACAAGCGTGCGTAATGAGACAACTGAGAAAGCAAAGAAGGAAGGGAAGGGCCGGGTGTCCGGCTCCTCTGTTGTGCTCTGCCAGGGGAGAGAGAGAACACACAGCGGCATGGGGACCGTTTAACCGTGGACCATTTTCACCGAACTCTATCTAGAGGCTGAACACCACCAGAGTCTACCGATGCGAAAACAATCTCACCCCTGCTCGAGTGAAGTTTGTTTCTTAACTAGTGGGGTCGAGCAGCAGACACCGGAGAGAGATGAACAAAGTTCAGGAACCCACCACCGTGTTGGAAGTATCCATGATACACTTTGTGCAGAAATTATGACTGATGACTTTCTGCGGAACACACTGCACATTCTGGAAATTCAGGATGTGCTGAGCTTACGAGGCAGGCCCCTGGCAAAGGGGCTTCTCCTACCTTGAAGATGAAATCAGCCATCAGAGGTCCTGGAATCTTAAAGGTCTGCCTCTCTGAGCCCCTCTGAAATTCAACTGTGGTGTTTTCTATGACAAAAACTCCCGGGCTATTAAAGCTGTGTTCTTTTTTGCTTCCTTGAAGTGTCTTTGATTCAATAACTAAAATTTAAAAAGAGAATTTAAATGAGAAGGCTGTCTTCAAAGCATTCTATTTCAAAAAATAACTCACTACAGATATCAACGTATGATATCAACATAGGATGAAGATATTTACTCGGTCTGCATTGACTCGGGTTGGTGGAACACACGTGTAAGCTTCTGAGTTGTCCGCAGCTAAACCAGATGGGTCCCAACCACATTGGTTAGGCCCAATTAGGTCTTCTCAACTCTTTGGAGCCGTTTCTACAGGGGAAAGAGAAAATGTCTCTTTCTTCCTATTTTTTCATGATGCTGGTGTTATTCAAAGTAAAGATATGTTCCTCGTTTGATCATTGTTGGGAAGATCTTAAACCCAGTCTTTTATTTAGACAAACATCACCATGAATTTTGAGTTTGCTTTCTTAAAAATAATAAACTTTTTGTGATTGAAATAATCAGAGATTCACAGGAGGACACCAAGATAGTAACGAGGTCCTCTGTAGAGTTTATCCAGTCTGACCCAAAGGCATGGTTACATCTTATGTCACTAGAGTATAGTATCAATGCCAGGAAATTGTCATTGGTACAATGTGAGCATTTGTACCACTTTCCACGGCATCTACTACACATCACTGTGATCAAGATATGGAACCCTTACATCACCACCAAGATCTCTGTCCTACCCGTTACTGCTTTATTCACATTTGCTTTTATAGGAACAGAAGAGCTTTTAGATCTCCTACAGAAAAATGGTCATGGTTTAACCTAAATAGCATTTCTACTTTATTTACACTAGATCTTAGCTAAAAAGCCAAGAAACGATCTACTTTATTTAAATGATTTTTCTTTCCTCCTTTTTTTCCCCTTTCATTGTGTAAATATCACCATCCTTGGTGGATCTGGTCTGAGGTTGAAAGAGGCAATTTTTGTAAAAAAACAAAAAACAAACAAAAACAAAAAGAAAAAAGCCAGGCTAGGGGTTGGGGCACCTGCATTTCTGACCCCAGCTCTATTTCCAAGGCTTGGGCTTTCGCTGCCTTATTTCTAAATGTGGCCTCAGAGCCACAGTCCCGCGGGCGCTCTTCTACTCTGAAACCTACACTTGGTTTGTGGCTATCAATGGCTCTTTGACCACCTTGAACAAAGGACACAACAGAACCCGAACCCCAGGAAAGCTGATGAAACACAAAAAAACCGTCTGGCACTGGGGCCTGCCATCTGCATGTGGCTGTTCTTAGCTCTTTTCCATTGATTTCTCTCTGCCCCGGGACCACCTACCGGAATCCAAGCGTCCCCGGACAGACTGTGTAACAGGCATAAGGAGACATCCCTGATTACGCCTGACAGGCAGGCTGGGAAATTTTCTGGGAACCCTCCAAGGCTGGACAGGAGCTCCTTGATCTGCAGGAATCATTAGTGGTCGAAGAATACTGCCGGCTACTCACAGGCACATGGAACCCCAACCACATTGGCCCTGATCTCCATGACCGCAGTAGATTTTTGGAACGTGTGAGATTAAATTCATTTCCTAGTTCCAATGAAGATATAAAACGGAGTGTTATAAAGTGAGCTGTCAGGAAAAATGAGAAGGGGAGCCAGAGATGGTAAGAAGTCCGTCCCCGGGAGGATTATCCCTCTGACGGAAAGGAGCAGACGCTGTGAGCATTGTGGCCTTATCAGGGACACGGAGGGAAGCTGGACAAAAGCCATCCTCCCAGAAGGCCTGCAAAACACCGGGCTTCTAGGCTGAGTTCAGCCTGAAATGAGCTGACTAAATTCAAAAAGTGTTCTGTGCTGGGGTCAGGATTGCACAGCCTTCTGGGCCACAGCGTCCCGAGTGCCATCAGACCGCAGAGCTACGGTGGGATGTCAGAATCTGGGCGGAATGAAGACCAGTAGGACAGCCACCCTCTAAAACCAAAGGCCAGCATTTCTGTTAGTCCAGTCCTCGTGTTTTGTGTTTTGGTGTCAAGTCTCTTTTATCACTTTGAACGGCGTCCAAGACCTTGAATGGCAAGGACATGAGAGCTCAAGGAGCAAAGCCAGTTTTCAAGTGCATGTGAAGTATCCAAGTCCAATATCCAATTATCCATATGCTTATGATAAAATGTCTTCATGGCTATAACTTCCAAAAGGCTTCCAGCTCTGTAGGTCACAAACACTAGCATACACAGGCGGTGGAAGCCAGGGCCTCTGACCTCTGTTGTGTAACGGGGTCAGAAGTAGGTGAACAGAGACAGGAGAAGTGATTTGATGAAGGCAGAGTTCACGGATACAAATGATTCTGACAACTGGGTTGTCAAACAAAGCCAGTGTGATGAAGCTCTGGGTGAGGCGGAGGTTTTCAGTTTATGACGTCTTGGCTTCTCAAGTCTATTGCTGACCAAACATACTCAACGCTGAAATTTTGCTACAACAAAATCTCTTTTGCAGGAATCTTCTTAGGGCTTCCATTTTTGAAGTGTTAGGGAAATTCGGGACTATGCCATTGGGTTAATGCTGGGGCCAGGCATGGAATAGGATTGGGAATTTAGGATCTATACATCTCCAGGCAATAGGTAAGATAGACATTCCACTCCGTGGCAAAGAAAGTGACACTAACATTATGGGGTGTTCTAAGTTCTTTAGGATGTTAGCCTTTTGGAGAGCTGTAGTTAATACAGATCTTAAAAGTATGATTTATTACAGCCAAGTAAGCTTTATTTCAGGAACATATCTTCGTTTCAAATAAAAAAAATTAAGAAAACAGTTGTATAAATCAAGAAAATAAAACCACTTCTATATTTAGATGTTCAGAAATGTTAATGAAACCCTTTGAAGCCAGTTCGGTTCATCGGCGGAGAAGGATAACTTGCGGGAACCCTTCCAGAGCCCACTGCAAGATGGTTCAGAGGAGAAATATTCCAAGCAACAATTCTGTCACCTTTGGAGACACGGCAACATTTCTGAGCCCTGTTCTTGGAACAGTGCCAGTTTTGAGTATAAAGTTTTGCTTAATATGCCAGAACATATTTGCATGTAAATGAGTATGTTGCCACCACATACTCGTCTTGGCTTACTCTGTTTGCTGTCTATGTCCTCTGGTTTGGAAGCTGAATTTTGGGGAACTGCCTTTAGCATCATGAGAAAATTGGGCCCAGTCACTGAATATTTTTTAAACATCTTTTTGATACGCCATAAAATCCACATGCCGTAAAATTCGCCCATTTATAACCCAGCTTAAGGATTTCAGTATATTCACAGAGCTGTGAAAATATCACGAGATCTAAGTTTAGAACATTTTTGTCATCCCCAAAAGAAACCCTATACCCGCTAGCAGCCATGCCCCCGTCTCCCCACCAACCCGACTTCCCCCAGCCCCAGGCAACCACCAAGCTACTTTCTGTCTCCATAGATTTGCTTATTCTGGACATTTTATATAAGTGGAATCACATGTGGCCTTTCGAACTGGCTTCTTTCACACAGCATCATGTTTTCAAGGACCATCCATGGGGAGCGTGTGTTGTGCGCCATATTTTACTCATCTGGCCATCAGCTGATGGACTTGGGTGGTTTTCACTTTGGGTTTATTATGAATGGTGCTACTTTTAAGATTCAACGGTCCATATTTTTGAATCCCAAACCATATGTGCCAATGGGAGCCCTCCAATGATTTACAAAATTTGGATCTGAATGTTTTTTTTTCCCTATTTTCAAAAATCAAGTTCATGCTTATAAGGATGAAAATTTACTCTCATCAAGAGATGTAGGCTTTAAGCCATTTTACAAACCTTTGTAAAAGTTTTGCTGTTTCCTTATAGAGAAAGCCTTGAATACAGTGTCCAATATAGGACTGTAAACATTATAGTATTTTAGTTAAAAAAAAAAAGTGGTCCCACCCTTTTAGTCCTAATTGATAAAATAAAGTTATGGGTTAAAAAAAAAAGGGGGGGGGGCTTTCAAACAATGGTTCACCCTTAGTGCCCCAAAGATATTCTCTTGCTTCTCTGATAGAGATCACCATGTACTACAGAATTTCTTGTTTTTTCAAGATTTAAATCTACATTAACTTTACTTAAACATTTTAACTTAAACTTTTCTCAAAGAACATTTCTGGTTGGAATATTACTATGGAATTCAAAATACACAAACACACACACACACTCTTAAAAACTACCAAAAACATTTGATGCTTGTGGCCCAGAGAAAATTTTACAAGTCCAAAATCTTTAAAAAAAAAAAAAAAAGATAAAAAGCCAATCTATGTAGCACTTTGGTCCCATGGACCTTGATTTGCATAGCTTTAAAATAGTTGTTAAGCACTGTTTTGTACTTTTATGGAAAGAGATGGCTGAACTCAGTACACTTTTTCAAGGCCAGGGAGCCAGTCTTGGCGGAGACTGATTCTCCTGTGAAAGAAACAAGAAAGTCCTGCCTTTGGCCACAAGGAGACCTTGGGAAAGAGACAGACAAACTGCTCTTTCCTGTTCTGTTAGGTCCTAAGAGACCAAAGAACAAAGAGGAGACGCCATTTGAGTTTGGCCAAAGAAACAATATAGTGGCAATCTTCTATCAATTCAAACTCCATATTCTGGGAAACCAGTGTTTATTTTCACTGTCCCTGGACCTGAAGTTGCAATGTGTTGGCAACAAAGCTTATACTTTTCAGCTATAATCACTGATATGGTTCTGTGTTTTAAAAAAAAAAAAAAAAATTTTTTTAATAATTTTTGTCCCAAACCTTTGGAATTTCCAGAAAACTCTTGAATACTATTCTACTCTCCCCATAAAAATAGTTTATTTCCCATACAATTTGATTTCCACTCCCATGAGGAGATTAAACCCAAACTGGTGTATTTCCAAACACTGGGACATGAGAACAGAAAAATTCACGGTATTGATCATTCCCTAGTGATACAGATAATTTCAGAGTGACTGGCAAAATCCTTGAGATATTTTCCTATCTACCCATTAACACAAAGAAAGATTTTTTTTTCTTGCTAAATAAACTATCAGGAAATAAAAACATGTTAGGATAAATTGTACTTACAAAGATGTGCTGGTCCTTTCACTGTAATTCTTACACTTCGACTTCCCAGAGGAACAGCAATTACATTTTCTTCCCCTAGGAAAGAATGCGGGACAAATGTAGTATAACTTATTCAAGAAAGGCCTATCAAGATAAGCAAGTCAATCAAAACCAGGAGCATTTGCAACTGCAGAACAACTACTATGCATAAGCCATATTCATACTACTATAATTTCATTTAAATGTTTTAAAATAAAAATATTAAAGAAAAGTTTAATTTAAAAATAGTTTAATTTAAAATAGTTTAATTTAATAATAATAATAATTTAATGATAATAAATAATAATATATAATAATTATAATTAATTATATAATTAATTATATAATACATTATTTATAATTAATCATATATTATATAATTATAATTAATTAATTATATATGATTAATTATGATATATAATTAATTATATAATACATTATTTATGATTA